TTCCATTGGTGAGAAAGTGAGCCGCGTGGGGCACCACAGTAATGGCATTCGCGAGAATCTGAAATTCTGAGATCAACAGCCCTATCAGGGCATAGCAATTCTCCTGACCAGAGCTTGCGAAGTGCCCCTCGTTGCGGCCCAGGAGGAACTCGAAGAACCGCAGCTCGCATTGCTCGCCGCCATGCAGTCTCGTCTCCGATCCGCTCAGGGAGGTGTTCACGAACTCTCAGCATCTGCCATCTGCGAATACTGTCACACAAACGCCGCTCCAGGTCACGAGGAGCTGTCTGTAGAAGATTATATTTCTGGCCAGCATCATCTTGAAGAAATATCGGGCTGAGCATGGACCACCCAATCCTCTGCAAAGTGAGACAAACCGCTGCAATGGGACCTCTCGCCATTTGCCATGTCGGACGCGCGGCAGCTTGAAGCCGAGCACGGAAGTCTTCACGCGCATGATGCAAGTCACCAATTGATACTCGACTGTCCCATATGAAACTGCAGTATCTCTTGACAAGAACTGTAGTGCAATCAAAAATTGGACCAAACTTTTCATCACTTTGAGTACTAAGGTAGAGCGTGAGTGAGCAGTTGCCACTGGCGCCAATCATGCCGCCTGCAACTGTGCGTAGTTGCTTGAGTGCAGAATCCGACGTACCACTCACTCCTGTGCCGCGCCCGACAGATGGGAGAATCCCTGTCCTCCACAAGAGCCCTACCTTGTCATGGACCGTGTCCCGAAGTTGCCAGATGCGCCTCCGACGTTCCCCAAGAGCCCGAAGACGAAACTTTTCCATGACACGAGCGACTCGGACCCCGTAGAGATCGCGCCCAAGGTTCCTGCTGTGCCTTTTTCTTCGGAGCTTCACGCATCGAACCCCAGAAGCAAATCCACGAGCCGCCCTTATAGTAGTAGCTACATACCCAGACTTCCCATGCTGAAGAACAAGTCCAAGAGTAAGGGCGTCCGAAGCAGAGTTACGTACACATGTGTGCAGTATGCGCGCCTCCTGAGGATCATCGCCTATCCATTGCATTGCGAAGTCATCGATGAGCACTCGCACAGACACAAGTGGACTGGAAAGTTTATACTGTGAATCCACCACACGATACAACACCACCATGAGAACTGTTGTCACATGCGTGCAACCAGCTAGTATGCCTTGGTGCGCCACGAACAAGTTGCTGATGTTGTTAAACGCTCGAATCGTACGAGGACATAGATATGTTTGGATAATCATCCACATGAGGCGAAGGGGGAAGTCGAGCGCACGTGCCTCGTTCATGAGCGTGCTCCATAAAATAGCTTCATAACATTTGAACGTCCAAGAATACTGCGATCACGTGCTGCCTGCGTGCGTGCGCCACTTCAGCATTCAAGTTAAGATGGCGCGCGCAATCGCTCGATGATCGACCTGCTCCAGTACCCCAAAAGGAAGGATGAGCAAGAGACCTGTCCCACAAGGCGCTGAGGGGTCGACGCGCTCTGCCCCATGCACGGAGCAAAGTGTTCAATGACGCTATCAGGCGAGTGCCGCCTGTAGGCTTAGGCAACATGACAAGCTCGGTGAACAGCTGGTCTTGTGGCCATCGCAACATAGCTTCACAACGCATAAACAGCTGAGCTAAAATGTCGAGGCCCTCATCGCACACGAACCACCGGTGACGAGGAAGAATGCGCACCTGGCCTCGACCCGTCCGCTTGGCGAACGACAAAATAACCTTGCGAATCTGAGCCCCGTCAGTAGAAGGCAAGTGCCCCCACTTCTCAGCATCATGCGGTAGCGGAAGCTGATCCTCCTTATGAAGTTGCCAAATCGCCTTCCACCTATCCAGCTCGTTGTCGGCCAGCTTCGGCGGGGAAGAATTATAAAGAAACTCATGAACCTGCTGGGCCCCCTCGAACTTTTGCGAAACGGTGGGCTTGGCCAGCTCCTTGTCTGAAAGCCTGCTCTGTCCATTGCAGCCGCTCCTCCTTGCGTTGAGCGACATGCTGATCTTGAACAACTTGTGCCTTGCTCAATATGTTCCCCAAAGTGGTATCGATATCAGCGTTGGCCAGCCAAGAGCAAACTCCAGACTTGAAGAATTCTGCAACCTCGGGGCCCAATTTGTTAAGGACATCATCGGCTGCATCAATATTCTGTGAAAAGAAGTGCGAGTCCAGCAACAAACGAGCCAGCCTGTCACTGGGTGTCTTCCTTGTCTTCCTGGATCCAGCACGTACTGGACCTCCCTGACCTGTTTTTTGCAGACTGCATTGGGCTCCGCGTGGGGAAGATGCCGCAAGAGCAACGGGGGTGCTCGAATCCCCATAAAAGTTTGCACTGCTCGAGGATGACGAGCGTGCCATTGAACCAGCAATACTGTTAAACAATGTTGTGAAGAGCACAAAGATCCTGCGGGTGTGCCTAGCCCACCTGCCAGCAACAGCCCAGGCGTGAGCATCAACCTTCCCTCGAACGGGTCTGTCTTCAGGAAGCCCACTGAAGGGCGCAAT